GGGTGCCTCTTGGACGGGGGTGGCATTGGATGGACCGCATTAGAGAAGGAGGGAGGGTCTTCTCACGCGATAGACAGGCGTTTGGGGAGTGGATAATAGTTATAATAACCCGCTGAGGCGCCGAGGAAGTATGAAAAGGCATGTCAGTCCGAAACCAGAAAGGAAAAGATGAAGAAAAATCGGCCCAAACTTTTTCTTTCGGTTTTTTACCCACGCCAGGAATGGGAGAGTGATGAAATGACTTGACTGCCCATGAGTTAGTTACACCTCGGCGGTTCCTCAACGCGTTAAATTAAATGTCGGGCGCGGGCTTGGAGCCACGCGCCGACTATAATTGGTAAGGCGTCCTCCAGTAGGGAGTGAGAAAACCCTACTTGAAAACGGCGGGTTGCACATGCAACCGTCCGTGAGCATGTCGCGTTCCTTTTCCGGCTCTGCGGGTGTAGAGGCATACGGCGGATGCGGATAGTGTTGTTGCAGGAAAAGTGGGTGTGGGGTCATGAGCAGTCTTGGGGGTAGCGCGGAGAGTAGGGAAGGGACAAGAGAGTTGATGAGTGATTTCGCGTGTTTTTTTTTTATATATTCCCCCGTTATGTGGTCATCCCTTGGTCCGTCAGCTTGAGGTATGAGCCTCTCGATTTGATTGTTTCGAAAGATAAAAATTCGTTGAGGCTGTCAAGGTACATAGAGCTTCTAGGGCTCACACACGCTTGATATTTTGCCGTCGTTTTGCGAGGGTGCGGTCCGGTGCAACCGTTTAAGGGTCACGCATGGTGCCTGACGCGGATTCTGGTGATGGTGCAGCGTTTTCCAAGCGTGAGAACTCGCCCGGCAGCCGTTTGCCGCCGCCTACGGCCTACCCCTCCCCTCTGCGTTACGACCTGTGTTTTTGTGCCGAGTCGGCTATGGTATCCGTTTTTATTTATTTTGTGGTCGAGGCCACCTTGCAACGTTTGTTCCGGTTTCTCGTTTTCTTTCGGGTGTTGGCGTCTTTTCAGGTGACGCATGCACGCAGCCGTCGCTTGCTTAGGCTTGAGTGAACGCGCGGCACAATTGCCGTTTTTCGATTAATTTTTACTTCGAGATGACGTGTGGGTCCAACCGGTAGTACGCCATATAGATAGGGCCGACCCCCGCCCTGCTTCAGCCCCCCTCCTCCCCCCCCCCGCCCCCCACCGTTTGTCCACGCGCGCCACGCGGTCCTACCTACCCTTTCGGTGCTTGGCATGGCGTGACCTGCCTTGAAGATGTCGTTGTCGAATTCTTCTTTGTTTCGTTTTTTGCGCGGTTTTGGGGAAGAGGTGCTTTCATACAAACGGTTTTGTTCATGTGCGGGGGGGGAGAGGAAGGGTTCTATATTGTTTCTGCGGCCTTTTGTCGATTGCAACTAGTAGCTCGTCCGCTTCGATACCGGCTAAGTAGGAGTAGGTGTTTCTCTTCGTCCTTTCGTCCGGCCACTTGTTCCCGAGGATGTGGGAGTGCTCTAGGACACGGCTCTTTCGTCTCTTTCGGTTTGTTTGCTCGTTGTTGGCGATTGGTTTTGCACGAAGCAATGGTCTCGAGGTAGAACTATACATATACATGCGTGTTGCATGACTTGGATGAGGGTGTTGTGCGTCGAAAACTTTGTCGATTTAGTCACGAAGAGATTAGGTAATGGCTGCTGCTGGGTGAACAATGCTCGTCCAGTTGGCCACACAGCGAGCGCGTTCCAAACTAACAAATCTTCTTGAATATTAAGGGTGGACTCATTTTTTGCTCTCTTCGTGTCTTTTTCGGCTAACAATGATGTATGTATGCCTTTGCATATAACCACCAATAAACGGAGGTGGGGACCGGGGCAAGAACTATGAGTTGTGGGATTATACATAAAAAACGAATGCAATGGGTTAGCTGTGACTCAAGAAGACAAGACAGCATACCTTAACCTTGTGGTCCTCTGGCGACAAGAACTACGGTAACTGACAAGTAAGTATGCTACAATGAAGGCGAGAGGACGAAGAAGACTCAATCGTCGTGTCAGACGCGGTTTTTTCTTTCCTCCTCTGTTCTCCACCGGTTGTTGTCATTGACTGACTGATCGATGAGAGATAGACGTCAACTCAACAATATATCAATTTTTGAGATTTTGACATGGCATCAAGGTAGTACACACCACCCATTGTGACAAACAATTCGTGTAGTACGTGTACATCCAGTACGTGGAGCTGATGGTTGCTAAGATTGGCGAACCTCCTCTCTCCCTTGATTAGATAAAGGTCGTTTTGCTCGTTTGGTCTTTTCGTCTCTCACGGGCTGCAGCTGTAAGCTAACCAATAACGTAAAGGGTTCCGTATGCACACAGTGTGTTGTGCCCTCCCTTGAAATATCCTGCGGCGGTGGCGGTATGAACACGGATTAATGTCCAAGAGGAACAGGCCAGGCAGAATCGAAGGTCGTTCGTACGGTCTTGGGTGGTGGGTGGTAGCTTGAAATATTGCATTTCACAAAAATACACAAAGTGTCCGCCGGAATCGTCAATGAATGGTCGGCGCCACAAACCACGTTGTTTTCTTTTGTTGCTTTTCTGTCTTCGCTGGTCTACTCAATTCATCGTGGATTTGTCCCCACACAACATTCAATTCGCGAACAAATGCCTGGTGATGCTAAATATGTTTTGGTTTGCTAACTGCAACAAACAGAGACACGACGGGCCATTCCCTTCTTGTTTCCTTAACTGTAGGCTTCAGAATTACGGTTGTAGACTAGATCTATACCTTCGTGGGCAACGGGGCGGGGGGGGGCGAGCACCATCATCGATCGTGCCGACCCGTCACTCCCGAACAAAGCAGGCAAGTATCGTAGGACATAAAGTAGTAAATAGATAGGTGTTTTTGATAATCGCTTCTTCTTCATTCTTCGGGGTCACATCGTGTCTCAACACCCGACCCAATGCATCCACCACACGTCGAAAGACACCATCGTACATACCGCCAACCGCCCGCCTGTGCATTTTTCTTCCATCGAGCAGTTTCCGCCTCTTGGTATATCATCTCCCGGTCTTGGCTGTCTCCAGTCTCCCTCACTAGCTACTACTACTACTACTACAATCCCCCACAATCGTCGCCACCACACCAACCATCGTCGCATAAAATTGAATCATCACCACCACCTACCTATAAAACCACCGCACACCCACCCTTCGTCATAGCAAAAATATTCAAGCTCTCTTGCCGGCTACCTACTACTACGTGGTTCTGGTGCGCCCTGTTGCGGGGTACTCCAGCCCTTGTCATAATGCCTTGAACTCGTCGCACTCTCACGCACCCATTCCAACACACAACCGAACGTTTACGCGCCATCCTACTCTAAAAAAAAAAATCCAGTGTGGAAACCAGCGACGTTTGTTTCCAACAGGTCATTACCATACCACCACCGCCAACATCATCATGAATCTTGTTGCCATAGTTGGCAATCCCAAACTTCCACCACCTACCGAGGTGATTCCTCAACTGCCAGTGACCCTGCCCCCCACCGACCGAATCAATCGTGTGTAGCATCCATAAATGACTTCCTTCCCCCCCGAAAAACAATTAATTAATACTTTTTCATTCAACATATATTAA